TGGGCATTATTATTACTGTTTCATAGCTGAGGACACAGAGGCTTGAAAAACTTTAGTAAGTGCCTGAGATGACAGAGTATGTAAATAGGACCAGGATGTGATCACGGGTCTGTGTGCTTAAAAAGTCAAAGCGTCCAGCTGTTATGCTGGGCTCTCAATACAACAATGAGATCTCAACATAACCTTCTAACATAGAAATCAAAATTTCAGAATGAGTAAAGGACTGGGAATTGCACCAGTCCTGATAGGTGTCTATGATGCATAATGGTATCAGGGGATATCAGTATTGTCAACAGCCTCCCCAGGACAGACAGACAAACACACATGCAAATACACATGTAGGCATGCTCACTGCCTCTGCTCACTCCCCCTTCCTTGTCTTGGTACGGGCTCATCTTGGAGAGGGATCTGCAAAGCCCCCTGGGGCGGCTGTGCTGAGGGGACAGTTCGCCAAGAATTCTCTTGCTCTGGTCAGAAGAAGTTGGACGCTCTCTGGGGCAATGACCTTGTCACGGGAACCCTTCCCTCCCTGCTCATCCCTGCTTCCGATGTTTCAGGTTTTGGAATGAGCCAGAAGGTGGGCCATCTGGATTTCTATCCAAACGGAGGAGAGCAAATGCCAGGATGTAAGAAAAGTACCCTTTCTTCCATCATTGATATAAATGATTTCTGGGAAGGTAAGTGCATTAGCAAAGCAAGACAACAGTGCTGTTTTGGGGGAGAAGGCAGGATGCATGGCTGGGCCCTGGTACCACTGAATTTGCCTCCACGTCTAGCTCATTCTGTCCCAGGCATTGGCACAGCTCCATGAGGGAATTAGGGAATTTTTCTGTTTATCCCCAGTTTACAGCTGAAGAAACTGGGTCTGAACAGTCATCAAACTTGCCCAAGGCCACCTGATATTAAAGTTCAGTTTCTGGCTGCAAAGTCCCAATCTCATACCCAATCGAATCTGGGACCCTTGAGTCCGCAGCCTGTGTTGTCCCCCCTCATGAGGATGCTGAGGCCTGAGCTGGACGGGCACGTTGGCAAATACCAGTTGTAGCTGTGCCCACCCCCACCCCAGCTGCTTGCACTGCTTGCTCCTAGAAGGGCGCCCACAAAAGCTTGGG